TTTACAATACAATGTACTTGCTATATAGTATACTTACAGAATGCAGTCTATAGTAAATTTATCTTCACACATTTTCCCAGACTGCCTTGCTTAACACTATTAGGCTATATATACTATATATTTATACATGCAATTTTACATAAAATGTATATCCTTTAAAGATAATTTTCCCAGTTAATGAACATAATGGAACAATGCCCATGACTTTATAATAATTTATGTAATCATTTACATAAACCATATATTTTACTGTAGTTTGCATATTCGCAAACATTATAAATGCATGCAACCAAATGGGAGAACAGCCTGCGGGGGGCTATTATTGCCAAACCTGTCTGGTTCACTGTCATGAGAACCCCAAATCACCAAGTGTTTCGGAAGGACAAGAGTCATCCAACAGGGAGCAGGGAACAATGTTCATACACAGCTTTGAAGGTGAGTCAGGGCCACTAGAGCCATTAAACATATCAACAGAATGTGGTTAATCTTCTTCTCTGATCTCAGAAAGCTTTACCTGAGAGTGAAGCAACATTCTGAGGATCTTTTAAGGGGTAAGGAAAGAAATTCCAAGCCCCAACTTGCTTCAGGAGAGTACTCATTTCATATACATGCCTCCAAAATCCTGCCCAAGGAATAACAGGCATTAACTGGTACTTAACCAAATATTCAAAATCTTACAGAGGCCAAAGCAATCACCAGAAGGAAGAACAAAGAAATGCAAGCCCAGCCTTTGCCCCCACTGCAGTTAATCTGTCTCCTAAACCCCAGGTAGCTGAGAGGTGGAAAGTCCAGGGACAAAATCCAGCATGCCTAACCTCTTCTATAACAATGTTCTTGTTTGAACCCCTGTCATCCGGGGAAACGGCTGGAAATAGTGACAAATAAACAGAATAATAATTGATTTTTCCAGAGATGAAAAATGTGAAATTAGTGACCATTTCCCCTCCCCAGATCATTGGCTGATTAATTTAATGTTTGTCTTAGTCTTTCGAAGACATCCTCTCCGGGAGCATCTGCTCTGCCAGGCTCTGTGATGGGTTTGTGGTTTTGGACCCCGTGGTTAAAGCATATTGCACAGTTCTGCAGTTTCAAAGTGAACCTTGACAGCATGAGGAGAGGATGCAGCCAACACCGAGACTTAAGTCTCCCGAGATTGGAACCTGGCTTGTCAGACTGAAGTCAAGTCGGTGATTGTGTGGTCAATGTGTCTCTGGGTTCCATGTTTGAGAAACAGAATCTAAGAACTCCCTGTGCAAGGTTGGAGAGGTGAATCGGCAGTTAAAAGTCAGGCCGATCTTCCTGAGGACCCAGGTTCAGTTCCCAACATGTATATGTGATAGCTCACAGCCATCTGTAACTCAAGTTCCAGGATAGCTGAGGCCCTCTTTTGGCCTCCAGGGGCACCAGGAAGGCATGTGATACATAGACATACACACAGACAGAGCACCTGCAACACAGAAAATAAAAATGTCATTAAAAAATGAATACTACCTGTGTTTTTTCCAGAGTGCCCAAATCTTGCCAAAATAATTTTTAAAAGATCTCAGTGTCAAAGTAGATTTTCACTGAAGTAATTCAGAACTCTCAGTGGGGCAAGATAATGTTTAAGTGTTCTTGACCCTTTCCTCCATTCCAGTCTCCTTCATTTAAAATACCAAAACTAGCTGTTTTTAAAGTCACCTATAAACTATTCCGAAGTTCAATAATCATATTTACCCTGAGAGCAATCATAGTCTCTTATAATAAACATGAGCAGAAGGAGACACACTGCAGAGAGTGACTTCCCAAGACCCTGTAGCCACTGGATAAACTCTGGGCTTGGATGGAACACCCTCCCCACACACAACAGGCCTCCAGATTCCTCCTTCCACCGTTAGCTTTCCCTAGAGCAACCAGAGAGATCTCCCCTCAACCCCATCGGTCACAGCTCCATCTAATGTCCCCATAGCCCAAAGGACCTCTTGCCTAGAGACCTGTGTAAGTGTACACAGAGGCAGAAAATTTAAATCTTTTCTCACATCCTGACTTCAAAAATGTTATATCACTTATGGCTCTAAACATGTGAGCGGGAACTGCAGATACATCCTTAGGGGCCAGGTTTCTGTGGGTTTCTCTGCATCATCAGCCCACACTGATGAGCCCAAGCTGTGATCTCAGCAGATGACTTCATATCCCCCTAACTCCAGCTGCCTGGCCTTAACCTTGACAGTGTCCCTCCCTACTCACTGTGTCTTCAACTTCCTTAGGATCTGAGATGTAAAGGAGTTTGTCTTGCTTTACCCTATTACCCCTGAATCCTATAAGTCTACCAGGGGATAGTGGTTTCTACCTCTCTCAAATGAGTGCCCCTCTAACCTCATTCCTCTCTGACCCAACCCAGGAACCCCACAATTGTCTACCATGATTGCCTAGGATACCTCTTGTGAGGATGTGTCCAGTCCTGAGCTCTTACTCCTGAGTCTTGTCTTAAGCAGCAACGTTTGCCCACATGGGGAAGGAGGCAACAAGAGATACCCAGGGAGCTTTATGAATGGAAACAAACTCCTCTGACATTTTACAGAGAATGATTCTCCTTAAATACAGGCCAAGGTGAGGCACAGAACAGAGCTACCTGTAGGCCAAACTCCATAGACCAGGTCATCATCAGACATCAATAAAAGATGTCAGAAATAAAAACAAAACCTTTCTTCTAAGGAAATAGCACATCACATGTCAACCCCTAAGAATGATTTTTTTTTCATATATTTCTGTTTGATGCTAAGAATCAAACCCAGGGCCTCACTCGTGCTAGGTACACACTCCGCCACTAAACAACACAGCTACCCAAGAGAACATTCTTTGTAAACTTTTATGGCGTCCATTAACAACAGCTTCCTACAATACTTCAGAGACAATGGGGAGGAAATCCTCGCTTTACTACCTTGTGCCTTCCAGAGCTGCTGAGGCAGAGTCAGAAAACCAAACTGTCCTCAGGGAGAGCTAGGGATCCAAACAGAGAGGGGGCAGAACCAGAGTCACCGAGTCATGGTCTCCAGGCACAGGCTCCATTTATAACCTCTTCCTTAACTTTGTTTATCTCTGTGGGAACATGCTGAGGAATCGCACTTTCCAGAAGTTGGGGCCCAGTGATCATTACTTGTCATCAGAGGAAATGGAATTAGGTGATTTAATTCCTCTTCTCAGAAAGTCCACATTGTAATAAATGGCTCCTCAGTGACCTTCGTCCCTGGGTGAGGTTGCTGGGCTTCCCCAGTCACTCTTGGCCTTGGTGGCATAAGAACAACTCACAAAGGTTGTAGCCTTGACACTTCACCTCCATCAGAGACAGAAAGGGGACTGGAGAGTCTCGCCTTCCTCAGCCTTTATGACACAGGAAGAGTGTATCTGTCAGGAAATGATAAAAACGTCAGAGGACGCAGCTTGTACTTGGTTGGATGTACCCAAGGACCATGGGCAGAGTGGCTTACACTGTGGACCAAACCCTCTGTGAAACTGCCAACAGCTCCAGAAGCCAAGGGTGAAGCCTGGAACACGTTCCTCCTATCCCTCAAAGGAACCAATGCTGCTGAAACCCTGACCTGAGATACCATGTACATGCATGCATGCTCAGGTGCACATGTGTGCATGCATACACACACACACACACACACAGAGGGTGGGGCTAGCATCAAACTCCCTACAGAGCTGAGTTTGGAATGCTGCAGTGGTTGTTTGGCACTGACAGGCACCTGGTGCTTCTGGGTTCTATAAGGGAGGCCTGTGGTGGAGGAGCCAGCTCAGCATCTATCCCCCCTCCAGGTTCCCCCTGGTATTGCCACCCTCAGTCACAGCCTCTGACAAGTCCTGTACTGCTGTGAGTCAGGCGCTGACTGGAAACTGGGGAAACTAAGGGTGGATCTAGCAGGAGCTGAGAGATGGGGAGTGACTATGACCAAGATATAAGATTCTCAAACGACTAATACAACTGTTTAAAATGATCTTGTTAAAAAGATGAAGAGAACCTGAAAGAGATCCCTCTACAGAGATCACCCTCTACAGAGAAGTCCATGGCTGATCCCTCCCTCACAGACCAAACGTATCCAAATTCACTTCTGGCATCCAAACCCCTGACGAAATGCCTATAGTTTAAGCCACTTGGTCCATGGTCCTTGGGTATATCCAGCAAAGTATACTTTGGGGCCTCTGAAGTTGTTAAGACTCATTAAAAGAATTCCTTTGTAGGCTTGGTTCCAGTGGCTTGGTCAGCAAAATCCTTGCCCTGCAAGTATGAGGAACTGCATTCCATGCTTAGAAATCATGTCAAAAACCTGGGTGCGGTGACACATGCTTGTATCCCAGTATTGGGAAGGCAGAGACAAATGGATCTGTGAGGTTTGCTGCTAAGTTAGCTTAGTTAGTGAGCTCCAGGCCAATGATAGACCCTCTATAAAACCAGCTACATGGTTCCTGAAGAATACCTGAGATTCACCACTGCCACGCGCACACACACACATGCATGCACACACACTTGAACATGCACATACTATACACACACACACATACACATGTGCACATACACCACACCAGATACACACATGTGCACATACACACTAATTTCAATGATAATTATGAAACAGATTCCATATGAGCTGTTGTTTCAAACAGAGGTTAATACGATGAAAGAGGTACAGAGATACTTGTTAAGTGAAAATTTTAAAGCCAACATCCACATGAGTCAGTCTATGAATTATTTGTGACTTTTGACTCTCCGGCCACATGGCAGTAGAGGAGAAATAAGCAATCCTTTAAAAAGCCAAAATGTCATTACTTAAGCCAAGCCCCTGCCTGGACTGTTCTAATTGTATCTAAATTGTTTCGTTGGTTCCTCTCTCGATAGTGTGATGTGGCAGGTGCCCTGGGCCTTTAGCTTACTAATCAATTATTAATCCGGGAGTTAATAATTCATGTTAATTGGTGCTATAAGCACTTTCTCTGGCAAATGTGAGCAAAGGTCACAACTTTTAACAGCAAAGGCGAAACATTCTCCAAGTTTCTCTTTCCGTGGCCTATCGTGAAAATGCTAAGATACGGAGACAAAATTTAACTAGAGCTGGGAAGGCAAGATAACCCCACAGCTGAAAGACTAGATGTCTCTCTGGGGGACCAGCTCTGCTCCACGGCCCGCTGGAAGGAGGAGAGGTCTCGAGGGGACAAGGGACAGGACTTCAGCCCCACAGGAGCGCTCTGCTCACCCGCTCAGCAGGTTTGTGGACCTTTGTTAACAAGATGAATAATATAAGTCTGAGAGCTGGATCCCTGCTAGTCATGAAAGCTTTTCTTCAGAAAGCAAAAGGAGGCATTTGAGAGACTAGCACTCTCAGGGGCTTTTCATAAATGTCTTTTCTAAATTGTAAGACTAGAGGACACATTCCATCCTAGGATAGCCACAGAAGGAATTCCGAGCAAAACCTCACTCGCTACCACTGAGCACTCCGGGTTTAATGAGTGTACATATGCTCACTCTGTGTTCTATTTCCAGGAAGAAGATGGGTGATTGCTCATTGCCACAGGATGCAAACAAAAACTAGCTTCTTACTTCATCCATCCTAGACTCCCTTCCCAGCTCACTCCTTCGCCCTGGGCTGGCAAGGCAGCCACCTAGACCTGGGCGCTGTGGGTGTTTGATCCCCTTTGAGCCTCGATAATTATTTGAAAGGTTCGTGTCAAATCCCAGTCTCAGGTGATGAAATCACTCATTCCCATTTGTAAAATAAAACTATTCCTGGTAGCTTTTTACAGCCTCGATTAAAAGATAGAAGTCAGCTATGTCGAGAATGGATCCTTGCAGACTTGGGATAAGGCTTAAATGGAAACCACAGGTTCAAGGGTGCCAGGGCCAGGAGGCCAAGCCTCTGACTCTTGTTTTTCTAAGGGAAATGTCGGTAACATATGCTTTTCATTGCTCCCCCTTTAGCCGTTTACATACTGGGGGGTGGGAGGTGTATTTGGCAGCAGGTCCTATTTTTAGGAGTCCTTGAAAACCTTCCCTTAACAGTTTTCATTCTGGCACATATGTGTGTTTTAAGCAGAAGGAAAACCCAAATCCAAGATAGGAAAAGAGAAACATGTGTACAGACACGGGAGATTTTTGCGGCCCAGAGTCACACAATAAGAAAGCAATCATTCAGCCGAGACTTTAAAAATGGATCCTTGCCCGAATTTTCCGACTATTTTCCTTCTAAATGACTGTTTCTTTACAGATCTAAACTAATGTAAAGAGACAGGTTGTCCCTGTGCCAGGACCGAACAAGCAAAGTAGGACAGAGGCTGTTTTTAGGGAAGGAATGTAGCAAGATAATGCCTGCTCTGTCTCCAGCAGCCGCTCAGGCAGAGGCAGAAGAGGATACTGCATGCCTGCAGCCTGGTTGTGAGCACGCACTCCCCACCTGACTCCACGAAACCTACATGATTACGGTCCTATTATTTGCAGTCAGTAACAAAGATTCATCCTTGTGTCAATCATACAACATGGAGAGTCTTTGTCACTCAGTGTAATTAATAGCCTTCACCTCGCAAGGGAAGATGGGAGAAAGACGCCATTCACACAGGACTCGGGTGTCCTCAGAGGATGCTTCTTGGATCTGTGCTGCCTTCTGACAGAGTAACACATTAGAATTCCAGCTGCAGGGGGGAAAGGTAAGCTGAGTGTGTTTGGGGAGGCTGGGCAGGGAGCTCAGTCCGTAAGTGCTTGCTGAGGCCCTGAGTTCTGCCCTGGGAACCCACATAAAAAAGGCAGGTATGTGACCCAGAGGCAGATCCCTGGCACCAACTGGTAAATCAGCAAGCTCTAGGCCAGCAAAGACCCCCATCTCAAAACCAGTGGACAGAGCCTGAGGAACTATTCCCAATGCTGACCTCTGACCTCCACATGCACAAATGCGTATGTGCACACATACTTACACATACATGTATGCCTGTACACACACTAACATGCACATAGGAACACATGTGCACTAAAATTGTGGTCTCTACAAGAGTCTACTCCAAACCGTGCTACCTATTCATTCAGGAATCTGTCAGAGAAAGGGAATAGGCTCAGACTTCAAAATGACAGCACTGCAAACAGGCTTAAAGGTCCAAGGAGTGGTGTCCCTTACACAATTGTTATACTAATTAATAATTAAGACGATCCCCCACAGACATGCCCAAGGCCAATCTGAGCTGAGCAATCCCTCCCTGAGATTTCCTTCTGAGGTAACCATAGGGACAACTTTACAATTTACGCCGACTTGGGCCCTGTGCTTCATGACAAATACACCATATTATTAAACAAAACTCATTGTGCACTTAAAAATGAAAGCTTTGCAAGTATGACTTTACTTCCTACTCCTGGCACACCATTTTTTTAATTGATATAGTCCCAAGTGTTTAAGAGAGTGAGAGTTTGCCTCCCAGGCTCTTTCTGACACTGTACTGTTGCCTACTATCTGAGTGTGCAGGTCTCTGTGTGTATGTAAACATGTTCATTTGTGTATGCATGCACACATGCATGCAGGTGTGTGTTACACATGGGAGCACATGTGTGTGGAGGCCAGGGCTGGTGTGGGTGTCTCCCTTGACCTCTCTTTACCTTATTTTTCAAGGTAGGGTCTCTCCATTGGCCACAGGGCTAGCCAGCATGGTTGTTCTAGCTAGCCAGCTTGCTCCGAGGATTCTCTGTCTCTTCTTTCTAGGAACCAGAATTATAGGGATGCTATGACAGCATGAACAAGTTCAGGGCATCTGCACTAAAGCCCACAGGCTTGGGTGGCAAGCACTGTTTCCACTTACCTATTTCTCCAGGCCACACCACTGATTAATCTTGAGGGGAAAAAAAAAACAATGTAGATTCCTGTGACTGTGAGTGGACACGGGCGCATGCACACACACAAAGGTGCCCACTCGAACACGTGACTACTTGAGGCCAAGTTCTTTGTCCCTTCTCTGCAGGGAACCAGATAAATCTGAGAACCATCTTAGGTCTTTCACATCATCTGAGTCACAGCAGATCCTGCTGAAGGGACCACACGAAGTCACCGAGGCCGCCTCTCCATCCCTAATACGTTCTTTTCAAGGCCACGCTTGAACGGCACCACATGGCATGCTCTCTCTAAATCCACTCTGAAGAATGCCTTTGTTCCATGGCTGCCTAAGGGGGGTGGGGGTGGGGGCTGTGTCGTGTTGGGTAACTTCACTGTCAGCCAGAGAGGATTTAGAATCACTGTGAAACATAGGGCTGTATCTATAATGTGTTTCCTGAAAGCTTAGCGAGAACAGGGAAGATCCACCCTAAATAGGAGCTGGGGTCACAGGCTGCTTAAAAAGGAGAGGGTGAGCTGAGTGCCAGCCTTCTGTTCCCTCTGCATCCTAACTCCAGGTATACATGAGTGGCAGTCTGGTGTTCCTGCTCTCCTGCTCTGTGGCTTCCCCATTGTCATAGTCTGCACCTCAAACCCTGAGCAGGAGAAACCCTTCCTGCCTGACGTTAACTTAGTTGGCTGTTTTGTCACAGCAACAGGAAAGTAACCGACACAGCCAGACTGCTTACGAACCACCAATCCCAGCAGCCTTTGCTCTGTGTTCTGACAGGAAGCTCACCCCAGCCTCTCAGCCACAAGGCCTTTGCAGTTACTCATCTGGAGGCCATGGGTTCACAAATCTCCTCAGGTGTTACAAGGGCTGCAACATCTTTCTGTCTCATGCCTTAGTCAGCTCTAGCTGTAGTACAACATCCTATGGACTTGTTTGCTTTCTTCCACATGTTTGCTTTCTTCCAGCTCTGTGGGCTGTAACTCAGGGTCATGATCCAGCAGGGTTTCTCCTGCCATGCGAAGGGTCAGTTTCTTGCTGTGCCCTTTCGGGTCCTTTCTTCAGGACACACCCATGTCGAGACCGTCCTTTCTGTAAAGACACCAACCACATCTCTCCAGGACTCATTACCCCTTACCACCCATTAAGCCCAAGAAATTCCTGAAAGCCCCATCCACAGGCCAAGTCATGCGGGGATTGGACTTCGATATAAATTTTTGGGAGAAATTCAGCTTAATCCACAGCAACATATATCTCAAATCCCCTCAAGAGTAAAGGCCATTCTCAACACACAGCACAACACCGTTCGTGGACTTCACTACTCTACAAATTAGCTTGCCAGGCATCTTAGTGTAGATATTTTTATTCATGATATATTTAATATATATGGTGTGTTTAATAACAGTGACATGTTATTGCTGTTGGATGAGGGAAAGCACAATCATGCTATATGTGTTTTAGGTTGTAAAATATTAAATTAGTCCTACATAATCAATTTTTACCTAAAATGTCAATTTTGCAAGAAGACATACATGCACCAATGATCACTGTGGATCAACCATGTGAATAATTTGAATTTTAACTTGCATTTGCTGGTGCGTGTGTGGTTTGTTCTAAAGTCTTAATGGGAAAGGTCAAAGCAGCTAGCACGATTGCCTAAACACTAGATGATGCGTTTTGAAACTGAGGAGGTTTCGCTGCTACCACCAACCTGAGTCACAGCAGGAAAACAAACGGCTGGGCCGATAAACGGATAAACGCCGCTGCACCTGCCTCTGGAGTGACCGCACCTTTTCCTCTTTCGTGAATTATTAAGACAGGGAAAAGGAGTTGCTGTTCTAGATGCGGTGGATGCTGTCAGGCATCGTGTTTCTTCCTTGACTTTGCTTGTCATTAGCCCAGGGTTCCACCTGGCGTGTATGTGGAGCGCCAGCGAGGTTTTAGAGCAGATGGAACATTGCTGGTTAGATGGTACCTGCACCTCCACTGGCTTCTAGGCCCACTTAAAGTCTCGTCTTTAGCCTCACTCACATTGCGCATTAAGGGAAATGTGCACCTGCATTCCAGGTCCCACTTTCAAGCTGGTTTATAAAATAATCTGAGAAAACTGCAGAGTCTACAAAGGAAGGACAGCTTGGTGGCTACGGTCAGCTGAGTCTGTGTCAGGCCTGACTTCCACAAGATGTTGGAGCTGCTGAGAGCTGACGGGCCAGAAGCTGATGAAGGGGTGTTTGTCCAGCAGATGATTTGGTGAGCCCTAGAACAGAGGCACCTTAGGAAATAGCCATGTTGGCAAACACCAAAACTGTCAGTCTCAGGAGCTGGCTATACCTATAAACAGTAAAGGGTTAACCGGGAGAGGCTGCGTGCTCTGGGAATATGAGTTCATGAACTAGAGGACAAGCACTGACCCATGGGTTAAGTTCTGGTGCTAAGGGACTTGAACTCTTCTCACTTGAAGGAGCCTGGGCATGCTCTACCATGGTTCCCTCTGCCCAGCATGGCCTCCTCCCCCCATACCCACCAGCCAATTTCACAGACTCTCTTGCCACCAAGACCTGGATTCCATCTGTCCCCTCCCTGGGATGTGAGCTCTCAGGAGTCTCTGATTTCGCAGTCTCCACCTGGATCACGGTTCAAGCACCAGCTCACTATCCCACTGTGTCTCTGTTCTAATTCTCAGAAGTGTGCTCCCTGCCAGGATGTGAGACCATGGACTCCACTCATTCAGAAGATGAAAGCAAGCAGCTGGCTCCTCACAGGGAAGTGTGCATGCATACACGTACATGTGTGCATGTGTGTGTGTGTGTGTATGCATGCATGTGTGTTCCTTATGATATTTCTACTCATTTATAACCTAAGAATAGATTCCAGAAACCCTGAAAGGTCATGAAGCAACTACCAAACACCTACCCACACACATATACACATACACACCCCACATACACACACACACACATACACACACACATACATAC